TGCCCGAGCCAACGCAACTTATTCAGTGCTATCTGTTGTTCTAGGGAGCTAGCATGATTATAACCACCTAGTACTCGCCTACGCACATCATCGTTGCGGACACGCTGGTGCCATCCGACTCCAGCAATTCTTGGCAGACAATGATGATCAAAGACTTGAAGGCGCCTCAGATCTTCAGACCGAAGGGGCCAAGTCTCACTACCATAGAGCAGAACGGCCCTCACTGTGGCCTTGGATACATGGCCTTTCAGACGAAGGGAAACTCCATTCTGTCGCCAAAGATGCCACAGGTTCAAGAAGGCAGCTCTGGCTTTTGCAATGCGTGAGCTCACGTCAGTTTCTATGCGTCCATCATTGCTGATGCAGCTGCCAAGATAAGTGAATTGATCAACCACCTCGAGTTCCTCGTTAGCAAGCGTCAAGGGGTCATCAAGTGGCTGGTGGTCCTGCAGCAACACTTTGCACTTTGAAGGTGCGAAGTGCATACCAAATAATGGGACCACTCTGGACAGGCTATTCAGGGTTGATTGTGCCGCCTCAACAATGTCAAAAAGCAAGACGATATCGTCCACATAATCTAGATCAACTAACCTTTCACTAGGCAGCACTTCAATGCCTACGTCGTGAGATTCTGCAAGGGAACACTAGATGATAGAATCCACGACGAAATTGAACCAAAACGGGGAAATCGGACAACCCTGACGAACACCACTTGTAGTCGGAAAGCTATCCGATAGGATACCATAGACCCTGACGCGGCCTGTAGTGTTCGAGTATAGAGCACAAAGGATGTTCATGTTAGATCTTCACTTTTTCTCGCTATTCCGATTTAACCACCCAGAAATTTCTCCGCAACAATTCTAGCCCAGCCGAAGAAAAATCAAAATTCCAACAGCCTTGACCACGAAAGACGTGTTAACAAAAACTCTGCCAACGTAGCCAAATAAATGCCGCCGAAAAACACTGTCCTCTCAACTCTGAGGCAAAAGTCCAATTAGCCGAGCGTTTGAAAACGCATTCGTCCGCTCGATCGATTGCCTGATCGATCGCACGGGGTAGGCGATTCCCTTCAGCCCAGCTTTCAATCATCATTATATACCCCTATTTTCGTTTATGTTTTTATCTGATTCCCGGATAGTTCACATATTTCGCGGGGACTCCTTTTCGCGCAAGTATTTCGAACAGAATCGATCGAGCGACTGAATCGAACGCACTCTTGAAATCGAGGAACACAGCTATTGTCGGTCTGCGGTATGCGTGGCGCTGCTCTAGCATCTGCCGCAAAGTGAATATATGCTTTATACAGCCACACCCTGGGCGGAAACCAGCCTGCTATGCCATAATCCGAGATTCCCGTTCCACAGTGAAGCGATGAAGAAGAATCGAGGCCAATAATTTTGCCACAACTGGCGTTAGGCTAATACCCCTGTGGTTAGCATAGTCTGTGTGACTGCCCTTCTTGTATATTGCCACCATAATCGATTCGCTCCAATTAGCCGGAACACTCTCTTCGTTCCAGATACGTTCGAATATGGAGGTCAGTGCCCTGCAGAGGACTTCACCTCCATCCTTAAATAGTGCAGGTGGGAGGGAATCCGGGCCAGCGGCACGAAAACGATTGAGGGCTGTGATCGCGTTTCGGACCTCGGCCTCCGACGGAGGCTCTAAAATAACCGTCCGTGGCACGTCCTGCATCAGCTGAGTAGGAAGAGGTCCGGGAGCAAGAGGCCAGCTGAACTGATGTTCAAAGTGCTCAGCCCAACGAGCCATTTGGCGCTCCTTATTGTGTATCAGCGCACCCGCGTGGTCTCTGAGCGTCTCACTGACGCCTGGTTTTCTGGGACCAGGGGTGCGGAGTAGCTGGAAGAGCTTCCGGTAATTGCCTACTGCTCCTGCCTCCGCCATTTCTTGAGCCCGACTGGTCCACCAGGCTTCCTTGTCAGCGCGTAGGCTCCGCTTTAGTTAACGCCTACTAGCCCGTCTGGTCACATTGTGTTCAGAACCAGCCGGGAGGTGTCTTCTAGCTTCCAACAGGTTCACGGACCTCTCGGATACCCAGTGACTGGTGCAGTGACGATTGATAGTGCCACAAACAGATGCTCTTGCGTCGTGCATAGCGGCCGAGATCCTATTCCACTGAAGTTCAGTGTCATTAGGACAAGACAGCGGGAGTTCGCTATGCAGTGCTTCTTGATAGGCTTGCCTTACCGAGGACTTAGACAATTTCTCCGTTGCCAATCGTAGGGGACGCTTTGCGTGCCTTCCGCTAAAGTTCATGGAGAAACGACAGCGCACCAAGGCATGATCAGAGTCGACACAGGTACTCCAGTGCGAGCGACAATCCAAGATGGAACCGCGCCATCTGTAACTTATGGCTATGTGGTCAATTTGGGTCCATCGCTGGCCAGCTACAGGTGGACGCCAAGTGGCACTTCGGCGCCCACTGTGTCTAAAAGCAGTGCTAGTAAGAAACAACCGGTGCTCCACACACAGTTGCAGC